ACATCATGCATATATCAACAATTGAAGTATTTATGATCCCATACAACATCATGTCTATTTCAAAAGTTGAAGTATTTATGATCCCATACAACATCATGTCTATTTCAACAGTTGAAGTATTTATGATCCCATACAAATCATGCATATATCAACAATTGAAGTATTTATGATCCCATACAACATCATGTCTATTTCAAAAGTTGAAGTATTTATGATCCCTTACAACATCATGTCTATATCAACAGTTGAGGTAATTATGATCCCATACAACATCATGTCTATTTCAACAGTTGAAGTATTTATGATCCCATACAACATCATGTCTATTTCAACAGTTGAAGTATTTATGATCCCATACAACATCATGTCTATTTTAACAGTTGAAGTATTTATGATCCCTTACAACATCATGTCTATATCAACAGTTGAGGTAATTATGATCCCATACAACATCATGTCTATTTCAACAGTTGAAGTATTTATGATCCCATACAACATCATGCATATATCAACAGATGAAGTATTTATGATCCCATACAACATCATGCATATATCAACAGTTGAAGTATTTATGATCCCATACAACATCATGCATATATCAACAGTTGAAGTATTTATGATCACATACAACATCATGCATATATCAACAGTTGAAGTATTTATGATCCCATACAACATCATGCATATATCAACAGATGAAGTATTTATGATCCCATACAACATCATGCATATATCAACAATTGAAGTATTTATGATCACATACAACATCATGTCTATTTCAACAGTTGAAGTATTTATGATCCCTTACAACATCATGTCTATATCAACAGTTGAGGTAATTATGATCCCAAACAACATCATGTCTATTTCAACAGTTGAAGTATTTATGATCCCATACAACATCATGTCTATTTCAACAGTTGAAGTATTTATGATCCCATACAACATCATGCATATATCAACAGATGAAGTATTTATGATCCCATACAACATCATGCATATATCAACAGTTGAAGTATTTATGATCCCATACAACATCATGCATATATCAACAGTTGAAGTATTTATGATCCCATACAACATCATGCATATATCAACAGTTGAAGTATTTATGATCCCATACAACATCATGCATATATCAACAGATGAAGTATTTATGATCCCATACAACATCATGCATATATCAACAATTGAAGTATTTATGATCCCATACAACATCATGTCTATTTCAAAAGTTGAAGTATTTATGATCCCATACAACATCATGTCTATTTCAACAGTTGAAGTATTTATGATCCCATACAACATCGTGTCTATTTCAACAGTTGAAGTATTTATGATCCCATACACCATCATGTCTATTTCAACAGTTGAAGTATTTATGATCCCATACAACATCATGTCTATTTCAACAGTTGAAGTATTTATGATCCCTTACAACATCATGTCTATATCAACAGTTGAAGTATTTATGATCCCATATAACTTCATGCATATATCAACAGTTGAAGTATGTATGTAACCATACAACATTATGCATTTAAAAAAGAAAACTTAATGAAAACCTTGTCCTATTTATATAATAAAAAAATAATTTGTTATAAATAGCGAATTAGGGCTAGGGGCAGGGACGTCATTTGGGTAGGGCAGGGTGGGGCATTCCCCCCCCCCCCTTTATTTGGTAGGTTTTATTTAAATTGCTATGTACTGTGGCGTTTCCAGTAATAAGCAACTTAACAAGCCTACCAAGTTTTGGCTTTGCCCCCCCCCTTTTTTCCTTGAAATGACGCCCCTGGCTAGGAGTCACGCACTAGATAAGATGATCTAAATGACGTTGGACTAAGTGCACCACATTCACTGACGCGTGAGTCAGCATGGCTAACACTAACCGTGAGTGCACTCTAGTCTTAAGCTGCAATTATTCATAGCCTTAGTTTTTGTCTGTTTCAACGTTAGTGTGGACGGTGTTCAAAATGAAGCGATTTAAACCAGGAAATAAAGAAGTGAACTAAATTCTATAAAATATTTTTTTTCAAAAATTAAAAACCATCAAGGAAGTGCTTTTAATTTGTATTTCCCAGACAACTCTGCGGCCACATCCCATCGGAGCCAACAAATAAATACGATGACGAGAGCTTGTCAGAAATCATTCTACAGATAGCAGCGTTATCGAGACCTCCCGTGAAAAACAAGGAACACAATCTGCAACAGGTAAGCCCATGTCTAAAATGTAAAGGGACTGCAGTTCAAGGCAACCGAAACAATAGGGCACAGTTCAGCGAAATCTCTTTAGTTCAAAATTGAATTTCTAGAATGTTTTCGGTTTTAAAAACCGATTCAATAATTTAACTAAATGGCATGGCGCATAAGTCAATAATTAAAAGTATAAAAGCCAACAGAAGAAAGTTGAGCACAAGAGAGATAGAGCACAAGAGAGATAGAGCACAAGAGAGATAGAGCACAAGAGAGATAGAGCACAAGAGAGATAGAGCACAAGAGAGATAGAGCACAAGAGAGATAGAGCACAAGAGAGATAGAGCACAAGAGAGATAGAGCACAAGAGAGATAGAGCACAAGAGAGATAGAGCACAAGAGAGATAGAGCACAAGAGAGATAGAGCACAAGAGAGATAGAGCACAAGAGAGATAGAGCACAAGAGAGATAGAGCACAAGAGAGATAGAGCACAAGAGAGATAGAGCACAAGAGAGATAGAGCACAAGAGAGATAGAGCACAAGAGAGATAGAGCACAAGAGAGATAGAGCACAAGAGAGATAGAGCACAAGAGAGATAGAGCACAAGAGAGATAGAGCACAAGAGAGATAGAGCACAAGAGAGATAGAGCACAAGAGAGATAGAGCACAAGAGAGATAGAGCACAAGAGAGATAGAGCACAAGAGAGATAGAGCACAAGAGAGATAGAGCACAAGAGAGATAGAGCACAAGAGAGATAGAGCACAAGAGAGATAGAGCACAAGAGAGATAGAGCACAAGAGAGATAGAGCACAAGAGAGATAGAGCACAAGAGAGATAGAGCACAAGAGAGATAGAGCACAAGAGAGATAGAGCACAAGAGAGATAGAGCACAAGAGAGATAGAGCACAAGAGAGATAGAGCACAAGAGAGATAGAGCACAAGAGAGATAGAGCACAAGAGAGATAGAGCACAAGAGAGATAGAGCACAAGAGAGATAGAGCACAAGAGAGATAGAGCACAAGAGAGATAGAGCACAAGAGAGATAGAGCACAAGAGAGATAGAGCACAAGAGAGATAGAACATACGAGAGTAGAAAATAAGAAAAGTAGTCGTGAGAACATATGAAAGTAGAAAAATATCAAAGTAGAACATTAGAGAGTAGAACATAAGAAAGTTGAAAATAAGAAAGTTGAAAATAAGAAAGTGGAAAATAAGAAAGTTGAAAATAAGAAAGTTGAAAATAAGAAAGTTGAAAATAAGAAAGTTGAAAATAAGAAAGTTAAAAATAAGAAAGTTGAAAATAAGAAAGTTGAAGATAAGAAAGTTGAAAATAAGAAAGTTGAACATACGAATGAAAACCCCAAAATGTTTTCTGATGTGTACACAATTCGTTAGCACTGAGTTTAAGCGGGGTGCAATGATATGACGCAATGTATGACGGCAAAAAACAATCCCATATATTATATCATATCTATGTATATATATATATATATATATATATATATATATATATATATTTGGGTCTGTTTCAATTAGCCCTTCCCCGCTCACGGGAATCGAGTTTAGGAACACACACATTAATTTGGAACAAGAGCAAACAGAAAAATGTTGGCAAGATATCTGTGTTATAAAAATATATATATATATATATATATATATATATATATATATATATATATATATATATATATATATTTGGGTCTGTTTCAATTAGCCCTTCCCAGCTTACGGGAATCGAGTTTAGGAACACAAACATTAATTTGGAACAAGACCAAACTGAAAAATGTTGGCAAGCTATCTGTGTTATCAAAACTAAGACGTACCCCATACTCTGTATGCTCCTGATTTCCTTTAAAAAACAGTTTTATGTTAAAATGCATTAAGAAACATAATTTTCAAAAGAAGTTTAAATTGTCCACCCCTGTGCAGCCATGAAGACTTTGGACCTGTTGGCCGTTCTGGCATTAGTTGCAGTAACTTCACGAGCTGAGGTTTTGTCCGTGATGAGTGAGCTAGAACTACAAGCTCACGATGACGTCATGACCTTGCTGAAGCACGTGACGTACGGTCGGAAGCCATATCCCGTGCTGGATCCCGTTCAAGTAAGTCGACGTTGCTTGGCACAAAGATATCCATAACAAATCTTCTCCTTTTTTCTGTACGCCCTTACAGAGGGGGGGGGGGTGTGGGATGTGGGGGGGGGGGGGGTGGGATACAGTTGGTGGTCTGGTATGTTTGAAGGATATCAATAATGATCTTGTAAGTTTCGAGGATATCAATAATGATCTTGTAAGTCTCGAGGATATCAATAATGATCTTGTAAGTCTCAAGGATATCAATAATGATCTTGTAAGTTTCGAGGATATCAATAATGATCTTGTAAGTTTCGAGGATATCAATAATGATCTTGTAAGTCTCGAGGATATCAATAATGATCTTGTAAGTTTCGAGGATATCAATAATGATCTTGTAAGTTTTGAGGATATCAAAAATGATCTGGTATGTTTGAAAGTATGCCATAAGGATCTGTTATCTTTGAAGCTATTCGGTTCTGTTCTGATCTGTTTAACTGGAAGCAGCATCCTATTTTTGGATTTGTATTACCTTTACGTTTACTCAACATAAAGATTTCCAGTTGTTATCTTACTATATCATCTTTATCAAACTGTGGTTAAACCAAAGTCATCCTCCTCAAAAAGTGGTTAACCCAAAGTTACCCTTCTCAAACAATGGTTAAACCAAAGCTATCCTCGTCAAGCCATGGTTAAACTCCAAACTTCCCATAACAACTTTATACCATCGTTTCACTTACAAAATGATGTTTCTATTTTTGTTTTATTTTTTTATGAAACAACTTAGTTCTGATATGTGACGTCATTTCAATTTTGACCTGCGTTACTGGGTCATGAAATAAATTAAATCAACTCTCTACGACGAAAGGCAAATAAAACAGAAAGTGCATCCTGAGTTCAGATAAGAGCTGATAATTTAATAACCAATGAAATTCGCAACAAAATAATAACTTTAACTTATTCAAAAGAACTGATAACATTCAAATCTTGACATTTCCTGCCATCGACAGTTTTAGTGGGGTTTTTTAAAGAATAAAATCAACAATTTACTTCCCTTATTTTTAACTCTAACTAAAAACTAGAAACAAGGAAGTAATACGTGGTCCTCATTGTGACCAGTTGGTTTGGTCGTGGTCCTCATTGTGACCAGTTGGTTTGGTCGTGGTCCTCATTGTGACCAGTTGGTTTGGTCGTAGTCCTCATTGTGACCAGTTGGTTTGGTCGTGGTCCTCATTGTGACCAGTTGGTTTGGTCGTAGTCCTCATTGTGAGCAGTTGGTTTGGTCGTAGTCCTCATTGTGAGCAGTTGGTTTGGTCGTAGTCCTCATTGTGACCAGTTGGTTTGGTCGTAGTCCTCATTGTGACCAGTTGGTTTGGTTGTAGTCCTCATTGTGAGCAGTTGGTTTGGACTTAGTCCTCATTGTGACCAGTTGGTTTGGTCGTAGTCCTCATTGTGAGCAGTTGGTTTGGTCGTGGTCCTCGTTGTGAGCAGTTGGTTTGGTCGTAGTCCTCATTGTGAGCAGTTGGTTTGGTCGTAGTCCTCATTGTGAGCAGTTGGTTTGGTCGTAGTCCTCATTGTGAGCAGTTGGTTTGGTCGTGGTCCTCATTGTGACCAGTTGGTTTGGTCGTGGTCCTCATTGTGACCAGTTGGTTTGGTCGTGGTCCTCATTGTGAGCAATTTCTCCGAGTTATTATTACTAATTACAATTGATATTTCATGACATTCAGATAAGCAATTGTTTGTATTCTCAAACTTGACTAGATTACCTTTATCCAGATATGAGAGATGAAGATACGTTTGCAACACTTTAAATTGATTTTATTAAATTCAATCAATTTTTATCAATTTCAATTTATTTGATCAATTTCATTGAATTTTGTCAATTTTATTGAATTTTATCAATTTTAATTATTTTTTTTTTTCAATTTCAATGAATTTTATCACTTTCAATTAATTTTAGCATCAGTATTTGACAGTGTTGGTATTAAAAAATTATAATTAATAATTAAATATTTTTGCTATTATGAAAACTAACTTAATGTTTCCGTAGAAGGGGGAAAATGCCCACATTAGAGGGAACGTCCTCTAACTGAAAGTTTGTGATTGGGCCTAAGCTACTACACATACTATTATGTCATCCGAAAATATATTATATGTTAGCCCTATATTAAATAGATCCAAGGACTCGTGATACTCGGGTGCCAGAGACGTAGCGAGGGGGGGGGGGGTGCAGGGGGGGCAGATGTCCCCGGGCGCCAGCTAGGTGGGGGCGCTGGGGGGGGGGGGGGGGGGGGGGGGGGGGGGGGGGGGGGGGGGGGGGGGGGGCAGGGGGGACAGATGTCCCCGGGCGCCAGCTAGTTAGGGGCGCCAAAATGTGCTTTGATATTATTTTATTGATGAAAATAATGGGTTTGAGAGTATAAATAAAAGAAAAAAGGGGCGCTTTAAAATGGATCGTGTCCCTGGGTGCGAATCTTGTCCCCGGGCGCAAACACCCTCGCTACGCCTCTGCCGGGTGCCCAATGCAAGTATTGGATTACATAGATGCTCATAACGTTGATTACATAACTACTTAGAATTAATTCAACAAGGCTTCACAGTCATAACTATTAATCATAGTGTTTCTTATTTGCCCCTCCCCCCCCCCCTTTTTTTTTATACTGTAAAAAGAAGAAGAAAGATTTCGGGCCAGTAAACTCATATTCATTCAAGAACTGCGCTGACCCCAATGCGGAGATCCTTGTGCCTTCTGACATCAATTTGAGCCCTGACCCCATTAAAATACCTGGCAACATCACCGTCTCGGGGCAACTTTTGATTAAATCAATTTTTGGCTCTCCACTCAAGGTAAGTTTAAAAAAAAAAAAATTTTCATTTGACTCTCCTCTTAAGGCAGCGGTTCTCAAACTCTGGGTCGCGACCCCTTGATGGGTTGAACGCCCCTTACAATGGGAGACAATCGGAAAACACATATTTATGAAGAAGTAACGAAAATAATTTTAAGGTTGGGGGGTGGGGGAGGCGTGAGGGGGGGGGGTCCCCTTTGTAATTTGTTGTGTGTAAGGAAGTTGTTAACTATACTATAACTATAGCTGAATTACGTTTGTCATGAACTACATAATGAAACAATGTATCATTAACGTCATAATGTGCAGTTATCTCATTTTCACCTTCATGTGGACGCCAAAGAGGGGAAGTGACTCATAATTGTTTCCTTTGACCAGCAGTATATAATGTATTAACCCACGCAATTTCACACATATAAATGTTTTAACTCAAACATATCGTTTTAACTATTTGGCCTTTTGGGAAAATGTTTGAGGACCTCTCAAGTGAGGCTTTACTGTTTTTTTTTTAAATTTTTTTGTTATTGTTGTTTATTTTTAACCAACATATAAAGGTCAGTGTTGTGATATGGAAAAAAATTGTCGGCCTTTGGATCAAGGTACCTTGCAAAAATAACATCGGCTCCTGCAACTATAGCGACCTTTGTACTCTGTTGACAGACCCGCAGTGTCCTTCTCAGCTGATCAAGATTGGTCTCCCCTGTCAATGCCCCTTCCCGGCAGTAAGTAATTTAGAATCTAAATGTGTATCAATTTCTTGAAGTTCAATCGCGCATCGAAAAACTAGTGAGAATATTTTCGCAATTTTCATGGAACATGCTATGGTGCTATTATTTCATAGAGTATTCTTTGTTAAAATTAATTTAGTAATGGCATGAACAATTAACCTAATTGTGAAAATAATCAACGCTATAAATAGAAAATAGTTCATATTTTCCATAATTATTAGTATAAAAAATTGTTCAATTTTGATGTTTTGTTACATATTGTCAAGAAAAATTAATAATAATAATTATCTTTGAATAACTGTAAAGTTAAGTTTAGATGTGTGGATAATATTTATTATATTTCAGGGCAATTTCATCTTTGACCCATTTGATATTACCATCTCACGGTCATTACCGGTCAAGGTCAAAGGAGGTGTCAGAATACACATTTCTGCATCTTACAAAAATTCACTAGTGACATGTGGCGACCTTCAGTTTGATTTGGCTTGAACACGATCACACATCACTACTGCAACTGGCACAATGATCAACATAATTACAATCACATACATCACAATTGTCATAAGATGTAATTTTGTTTAATCGGAGACATCAAAGAGACGGCCTCTTCTGTATAGATCTAACAATGAGAGTTTTTCTAAATATATTAAAAAATATTATGATTATTGATTTTATTCTGTAAAAATTATTATTCTGTTCACACGATCAAAGTTTTCGTCACATTTTTACATGAACGCACTATTTTGTATATGGTTCACCCCCCCCCCCCCCCCCAAAATGAGAATTTGATAAAATAATGTGTTAGATGCGATAACCAATCGCTGCTTCAATTTTCTTCACGTGACATTACAGTTTCTGCTGTTTTATCAAAATGGCAGCCATTCAATTAAATTGCACGACTATAAAAATTAAAAACACGACATGGTCAAGTTTCTCACACCTTCGAAGGGTAAATACCTTTTCGGTATGATACACAAAAACTTGGCATGATTCAAATTTCACTGCCAGAAGTCTGATTGCTAAGGATTGCTCAGACGACAGGCCCTGAGAATTTAAATTATTTGGTAAATGATAAAAATTAAAAATAATAAAATGTAATGAAGATTGAAGGAGTCGTCAGGATTGGTTAGTCAGCATTAGGCGCCATATTCACAATATCTATTTTAAAAAAAAATAAAAATAGGCATATAAAACCCTCAATCCCTAAACCTAACCCAGAACCCTAAATGTATCCCCAATGAATGACACCAATTCTCTGCATTAGCCTCAGAAATTTATGAAAAATAACTAGTATAATTATCACACTTACACTGAAAACAGCCTTACTTACTGACTAAAAAAAATAGCCATGATTGGCGGCTATGCCTACACTTACACTACACAGTAACTAAGCCTATACTATACTATGTATTATAATTTATATATAATATATCAAATAGTATAGCATCTATGACTATGTTATGTTGAGTCATAATAAAATTAAATGATAATAATAATAATGGTAATAAAGGGGAGAGACTGCAATCAAGTTAGCAAAAAGGGAAATGGTTAATTAATGAGTGAAACAAACTAACAAAGAATGGGAAAACTTGAAAAATTAATGCAACAAAATAACAAATGTGTCAGCAGGAAGTCTTCATCAGCTCAAAATTATTTTGCTGCCCTCTTGGATACTACTTGTCTAATCTAATTTTTGAACTATAGTTCATCATAAAAGCATGCCTATTTTAGAGTAGGGCTATGTGTTTATTATAAATTTTATGATGGCATCATGCTTTTTTCTATTTTAGGTTTAAAAAGGGTCTCCTGTGGGGTTCCATTCTTTAAGGTGCATTTTAGTTATGCCTTGAATAAGGGGCCATGTTAAAATTCGGTACAATAAATAATGGAGTGAAACTTTAAAAAAAGTTTTTCCATGAAAATGTTTAAAATGCAGAAGATCTAACCTGTTATTTTATAGAATTTTCAAAAAAATTCTCAGACCACCCTCAAATGGAATGCATTTTATTATGTTACTTTTAAATCCACCAATATTTACATGTGGATTAAGAAGGAAATACCTACAAAGCCTTGCCTATGTCCATCAAGTCACATAGAAGTAGGTTATTTTAATTCTCTTCGCTATTATTTTTATTATGTTTCATTAACATTTAATTAGTTTCCTCTAATGCTATGGAATAAGAATTAAAGATAATTTTGAAACTTTCTAGAAAGTTCAAAATTAATTTTCCATTATTATTATTAATTATTATGGCCTACATTATTGAATTTGAAGGCTTAGATTAAAGCATACACTGCTACGTGAATTGTTAGATCTTGTTCAAAAACCGTTCATAATCCCACCTGGGAACAGGAACCCTCCAGGAATGTGATCCCACCTGGGAACAGGAACCCTCCAGTAATGTGATCCCACCGAGGAACAGGATCCTAACGGGAAACGGGATCCAACTGAGAAAATGTGATCCAATCTAGTACAGCATCACAACAGAGAATAGATCACAATCTAAATGGGATCACACGGAGAAAGGGATCCCACCAAGGAACAGGATCTCACCAGAGAATGGGATCCAACAGGGTACTGGATACCCCCTGGCATAGAGATCCCACCAAGAACAGGATCCCTTCAGAAAACATGATTTCATCAGGGAAAGGGATCCCATCGGGGTTGGGTTCCCATCGGGAAATGGGATCCTACTGAGAACAGGATCCCAATGCTAATGTGATCCCATGGGAAATGGGATCCTACTGAGAACAGGATCCCAATGCTAATGTGATCCAATGGGAAATGGGATCCTACTGAGAACAGGATCCCAATGCTAATGTGATCCAATGGGAAATTGGATCCTATTGTATGAGGATCTCCCTGAGATCCCTTTCAGGAATGGCATCCTATACTGGGGAATGGGATCACAACAGGGAAGGGATCCCATTGGGGATTAGGATCCCTTTCTGATTGTAATTTATAAATGGTATTTGGGGGAGAAAATTTTAAAAAAACAATATTTTTTTTTAACAGGCCCCTTAATTTAGATTATAGCTAAAGGGCTGAAGAATATGTTCATTTCTGAATGCCATCACGAGTGACATTGGGTATATTGTCTAGTTTAAGGAAAAATTTAAATTACGTGTCATTACCCTTCAGCCTTCAATACGGGTATTTGAATATGGATTATCAAGTGCATTTGTACTAAGTTTGGTCTAGATCCATTTACCCACGCAAGAGCCTTTGTTTGGAATTATATTTATACACCTCGTTTAAGTAAAAAATGAATTTTGTGCCCAAAACGGAACATCTAATTAAGTTCAAACCCCACAAGTGTTTCATTGTTTTTTGTGAACACCCCTAGTTTGAAAATTTCGTTTAGCATACCAACTATTAGGTGATTAAAAATCTGGTAATAGGGTAAAAAATACAAAACAAATGGAGTTATGTATCTTAGGTTGGGGGCCATGTTCAAAGACGCTTTAGAAATCAAATAATTTAAAAGCGCTGTATAATTCAGCATTAGTGAACTACTTCTGCCTGGAGTTAATTTAATAAAGAATACACGTAAGTTTACATGCGAAAATTGTTATATATTGACGAGACTTATATTAATTCACTTACTTATATCATTAGAAAAGGCTCAGTATTTCAATTTCCTTTCCATATCATGTTATTGTTATGTTGTCTCATTCTATACTATTTTAAAAATTAAAAATAGAAATTAATTTTTCTGTCCTAATTAGAAAAAAAATTATCGCATTTTTAGTGTCAGAATTTGGCCTTATATAAATAGTAATAAATAAATCCTAAAAAATGTGTGATTGAAAAAAGACATCTTTTAAATTCTTGGACACTCAAAATACAATTAGATTTAGATGTCTACTTTTTTCTCAGCAAAGTTAAAGTTAAAGCTCTGAAATTTTTATTTTTATAGCATTTCAGTAGTTTGTTTAGAATAGACGTATAGTTAATTAGAATATTAAGTTTAGACATGCAATTTGAAGAAATGTGGTCAGAATATTAAATTTAGACAAGAAGTAAAGTTAGAATATTAAGTTTAGATTAGAATTAGAATTAGACGAGTATTGACTCTTAAGGAAGTAGAGACATATTATTAGTATCTCAATCTAGGTATCACCATTAATGCCATTATTAATAATAAGCTGACATGGCATGAACACAGCCAAAAATTTGAATTAAAAGTCAACCAAAGACTTTTATATTTTTAAGAAAAGTAAAATTTTGGCGTAAACGAACATGTTATTATTGTTATTAATTTATTATAAAATGCAGCAATTGGAAGCCTATTAAACTTCCTTATTACTTACTGATGTGGGAATTCATCAAAGACAGATTAAAGAGACTAGTCAAGCAAGCTATTAGTTAATATCACACAAATCAAACATCAGTCACTTGAAGAAGTTTTTGAAGATAAATGCTGTAAAACTAACAAATTTTTGGTGATACATCCCACCCTCTTAACTTTCATCACATTTACCTAAGATCAGCCTGATTAGGGCGAATTCTTTCTTTTAAAGTTAGGATCAAAAGATATTAAAAACTTTGTTTTGTTCCCCAGTCTGTACAAATTTACCAGCCTGCTTCCCCAACGGTTACCAAATCTAAACAATTACTAATTAAGTCATTATTGTCACAGTTTAGATGTATTGTGTTTAATTGTTATAATTGTAAATTGTCTTGGTTACAATATGTATTGATCTGTGCACTGAAAGGAATATGTATAATGTAATTTTTTTTATTAAAAAATTTTGTTTATTTTGATCAATAAAAGAATCTTTTTTATCTTATAAATTTTAAAAATAATATTGTATTAATTTTTGTTTATGGAAAGTGGTCTTGTCACCACGCTAGACTGACTGCCAAATGCCCAAAGTACTGTCTTGGTTTTGGTACTCCTAGTTCAAAGTCAAGAGTCAGGTCTACCCATTAAATAATTCTAAAATAATGTTCAACTAATATAAATTCATCAAATCACCTGCAAGTGAGGAAACATCTGCAATTTTTAGTAGCAATAAATGCTTAAGCTAGCACGCTTCTTTTCTAATCCAAATATAGAGTGCTCAATCCTAAGCACTAAACTGTAGATGTTTATCTATTCAGTGTTTTTGCAGATTTGTCTAAAAGATATTTTTTAAAGTACTGCAGTCCCATCAGCACGATAGGGAGAGACAACATGTGGCTGAGAAATAAACTAAAGGAGATTTAGGCCCATGGTAATTTGTCATTTGCTGAGTGGGATTAGAAATATTTGTTATTGATAAAAAAATATCTACTTATTATTTGTGTTAAGTTGAAAGCCTCTGAAGGATTTTACCAAAAAACTAAAACTTCACCGTCTGTTTGATGACACACATAAAAGTTTCACATTAAAAGGCATAATGCATTTTAATTTGATATTAATTATATAAATTGATATAAGTATATAAACAATAATTCAAATGTGGGTAAAGATATTTTTTCATAAAATATTTTGTCATTTATCTTCTTTAAAAACAACTTATCTACACAAACCTCCAGAGCTCATTAGCACATGGTACATCAGCACAGATCTTAAAATAGTTTTTTCAAAACGTTGTGTGCTAGATTGTTGATATCTCTCACAAAAACTGTTTATGATTTTATCACATGTATTAAGATTTCACCAATAATTCAATGCTG